GGCTGGGGTCGGGGTGGGGGCAGGGAAGGTGAATTATTAAGGAGGTCAGCGCCAGGAGAGGGGAGCTTCTTGCCGAGAAACACTCCTCATCCCACCCGAGGTGAAGAGTTTGGGCGTGTAGCCTGGGACTCCTGCCAGCCACGGGCCCTGAGGGAGGTCATCTCCCCTCCCATCTCACCTGTTCTCAGGGCCAGGCCATCGGCTGAGGTTTCTGAGGAAGCCCTTGGGCAGGGAGGTGCAGCTGCAGGGTGGGGAGTCCGAGCACACAGAAGAGAGAGGCCAGGGGAGTGCGCCTCACCCTCCGGCTCTGGCTGGCTTGAGTCTGAGCCTCAGAGCCTCCTGAGAGAAAGGGGGAGGCAGCGGAGGCTTCCCGAGGACGCTCAGTTCCTGGATGTGGTGGAGATAGGAGGGGAGAGGCAGGGGGTGAGCGTCCTGGCCGGGAGCGGACAGCAGCAAAGCGGGCTCTCAGGGGGTTCCTTGTTGGGCTGTGTCACCTGCGTGAGGACCAAGCTGTGCGCTCTGGCCCTGCCTGTGTGGATGTCTGAGAGTGACATTCCGGGCCTGAAGCAGGGGTCGTGCAGGTGGCTTCACGAACCAGCAGGCCTTGCATCGGGTCTTCAGGTTCCCAAGGCAGGATGTCTGGGTTTCTGGGTGGGAGCACACAGTGGGGTGGGAGCACACAGTGGGGCGGGGGGTGGTGGGTGGTAAGGGAAACTGAGGGGCAGATGTTGGGTCTGGGGGCGTGGAGGAATGGGCTCAGTGCTGTCTACAAAGGCGAGGAACCGGGGAAGAACGGAGGCCAGGCCCAGAGCCCTGGAGGAGAGGCTGACGGGGTGTGGCCCTCTGTTGCTGGTGGGGCTGGAAGCCTGTTGCCAGAGATCTCTGTTGTGTTTCGCCTCTCGGCCCAGTATGCAGTCATTCTTCCTCTTAAGGGGAGTTTCAGCAACCGTTGGTCAAATTGCTCATTTCACGGGTGGGGAAACAGCCATTCGCAGGAATTTGTTTCTAAAGCAGTGTGGAAGTTAGTGGCAGAACAACACCCAGAACATGTCATTCCCACTCCCAGCTCAGGGATCTTTCTGAGACTTCTCTTTCACAGGGGAAGTGTAGGATCCCTAAGGGCAGAAATCGTACGCTGTTTTTTGTTTTTAAATATATTTTTATTGATTTCAGAGAGGAAGGGAGAGGGAGAGAAACATCAATGATAAGAGAGAATCATTGATCAGCTGCCTCCCGCACGCCCCCTACTGGAGATTGAGCCTGCAACCTGGGCATGTGCTCTGACCTGAATCGAACTGGGACTTCCTGGTTCATAGGTCCATGCTCAACCACCGAGCCACCCCCGCTGGGCCCGTGTGCTATTGTTAACCTCAGGTGCACAGACTTGGATTAGGCACAATGCTCTCAGCAGTGGGGCCCGTTTGAAATGAATAAAACTAAAAAAAAAAAAGACCGTACCCTTTTATGTAATGATGTTTACTTTGAATTTATATTAGTTCACACAAACACTCCATCCATGCTTTTGTTCCGGCCCTCCGGTCCAGTTTAAGAACCCATTGTGGCCCTCGAGTCAAAAAGTTTGCCCACCCCTGGTGCATACCTCCTGCACTCCGCTACCTATTTATTAAAAAATCAGCACCTGTGAACCCAGCACCTAATCCAACAAGCCAACTATTTCTAAAGACTTACTTCTCCCCTGACCCAAACCCGCCTCCCTCTCAGAGGGACAGTGAGCCTGGATTTGTGGTTTTGGGTTTTCTTGCTCCTCCTTTCAACCACCACACATGTTTTTAGTTTCATTTTACTTGTTTGTGAATTGTATAAAAGAGGCATGAAATTACTTTGTCTACTGGGATGGGTTTGTTTATTAAAAATCTCTGTATTATGAAAATTCCAGACCCACAAAACAGAAGAATACCATGAACCTCTTGTACCATCACCCAGCTTCAACAGTGATCAAGATTTTGCTGCACTTGCTGTATTGATCGTGTTTTTCTTTCTCTTTTCTTGCAATAGTTTAAAGTAAATCTTGGAAATCTTACTGTCTCACCAAAGCCCTTCCTACTGTTGATGTAAATTTGCAAAGCAGGTGTTAAAGTAGAAAACAACCTTAGGAGACATAAATTTGTAAAAATAACTTTAATAAAGATTCCAAATCCATTGCCAAAACATACATACAATCATGCGTGCATACTTTCATACTCATTTCTAAAAACTGGACATTTTCTTACACATTCATATTACTGTTAATACTCCTGACAAAATCAGCACTTATTCCTTAGCCCATGGATCTGCAAATTTGATGTAACATTATGTTGCTAGAATTAATCCATGGTGTTGTACTTGGCCGTATAGTAATATTTCATTTATTAATTGTAACTGTCCATTGGGTAATTGGGTATTGGGTAATTTCCAGTGTTTAGCCAATGTGGATAGTGTGGATATGAATATATTTGCCTGTGTTTCCTAATGAATATGGGCTAAATTTATTTTGACAAATACCTGAAAGTGGAATGCTGGGTAGGTTATGCAGTGTTCCACCGGTTCTGCCAGTTTCCACACTAAGCAGCCGTGTATTGGTGATCCCATCCATCCTTAGCCTCTGACACTTGGATGTATGTATTGGGTTGTAAAGTAAAATTCAGTTTCTTACTGTGGTTACAGTCAGAAAAGTTTGAAGAGCATTGGTTAAAGAAGTCAAATAGTGACAAAGAATTTGCTACAAAAACCTGCAGTCCCTTAGTCCTTCTTCCCCATACACTCCCCACCTCGTTGAGCAATTATTTTGTTAATTTTATTATTTGGCATGAGTTACAAAGCAATCTGCAGATGGCTGCTACTTGTGCTGGACTTGGAGTGCCCAGGCAAGGCCGAGCTGTGAATCAGGTTGGCTGCTGCTAGTGCCGGGGCTGGGCCACTTAGCAAGAGGTATGGGGCACATTGAGACCAGATGCTGCTTTTTTGAGAGATTTTAGGAAAATCTGAAGCGTGAGCCAAGACAGGCCATTCATATGGAAAAGCCACAGGAAACAGCTTGGGTAGGTCTGAAAGTTGGGTGGGTGAGGCCTCAGATAGTCATCAGTTGGGGTAAACAGTGCGAGCCAGGTTGATAGAGTCTCAGACATGGTGTCCCTCTGCCAGCACTTCTATCTTGGAGAAAGCTTTCCCCCCAGCTCTTGCCCTAATGTCACAGACTTCAGTTCTTCCCCATATGTCTCTGTGCCTTTCAAACTGCTGCCCCAGTGCTGGAGCTCAGAAAGAGTGAGTCCAATTAAATCCATGCACAGGCCCTTTAAGAGGAATTGCCTGGGATTCCAGCAGCCCTCTGTCTCCCTCAGTCAAAATCTCCGTTGGTTTTTACAGCCAGAAGTCGTGGGGACTTCTATTTCTGGCACTGGAGTCCTGGGCTGGGAGGTCTGGTATAGGGCTGGGACTTCGCCTTCTCCGGGAGAACCTCTGCAGCCAAGATATCCATCCCGATTTTTATCCACCACACATGGGTGTGGGACCAGCCTGTTTTGGGTCTCTACCCTTTCTACCAGTCTCCACGTGGTTTCTTCTTTGTATCCTTAGTTGTGGGACTTCCATTCAGTCAGATCTCAGGCAGTTCTGAATGATGGTTATTCTGTAGTTTAATTGTAATTTTGAAATGATTGTGGGAGGCGGTGAGTACCACGTTTACCTATGCCGCCATCTTGACCAGAACTCCCACAGCTATTTTGTTTCAGCTCCTCAAGCCACATCAGTCTGGTAACCACATGCCCCACACCTCTGCTAGGGCTTTTTTGAAGGTCAAGTTTGTGTTGCTAAATCCAATGGATTCTGTTCTGTTTTTATCTTAACCTCTCAGCAGCATTTCACATGGCTGGGCTGATATATGACTTCCTGGGAGCAGTTTCCTCATTCTTGCTTATCAGCTGCTTCTCTGTCTTGTTTTGCATTCTCCTTGAAGCAGACCCTGAGACAAGGATTCGAGTACCAGGAGGGTGGTGCGGGGATCACTGGCAGAGGGGCAAGGGGGGAAAGGCAGTCAATTAAAGGTGTGCCCCACTTCTCATTTTATTGAGGTATAATTGACA